GTTTTGTTTTATTCTTGGAACGGGCTTTAAAGGGTTAAAAAAGAATCTTCAACTTTTTCAGAACATATTTAAATGAGTGTAAACACCTCTGCCTCTGCGCAGCTGAGTAGCACACAGCGACCTGTAGCTATCTGTGTTTATGGGGCCTTGGGCTGCTCCTGTCTGTATAGCATGGTGCTTTTTACCTCTCATTGGATGTGAGAAAGACAGAAAAATTTGTTCTTTAAGAAAAGCATGCTGACCTAAAAGATGTTTCATAGCTAGATGTAGGCAGGCAAGACTTTTGGATTAAAGTTAAACTATATTTGCCATTAAAATAAAATGCCATCATACCTGCTGAGTAACTCTGAGGTAGAAATATCGTAGCTAAATCTGTCCAGCTCAGTAGAAAACACAAATTTCTGTCCAAGTAGAAGATGGTCTGTAAAGAATTAAACCTTGAAGCAAATCAGACCCAAAAAATTACAAGGAACCAAAACACTCCAGGAAATATATCAGTAAATGCCTTTTATCTAGGGCCTAGTCAAAGCCCAAATCTAAATGGCATTTAGATGCTGTAGGGTGTCTAATAAATGGGGTGAAGTTAGCCTCTTGCTTAAGGTATTTTGACCAACGGGGAACAACTAGCAGTGAGGGGGTCAAGTGTCCTAAACTAGAAAATTGTTTCTTTATTTTATTTGAATTCAATTGTTTTGTTTGTTTTTATTTTTAAGCTACAGATACAATGATCAGGTATTAATATCTGACTATTTAATCACTAAATCATTATTAATAGGTGTTCTATATTTTATTGGGCCACAGGAAAGAAATCCATTTTACTGTCTCAAAGAACTTAAAGCAACGCTTTAGGGTTTTGTATCTTTTATTCCCTTCAGCTTCACCTTAATTTGCTCTGCAGTTATTCCCAGTGAGGTGGACCGCAGAGAGTGGGAGCTCAGTCACAGTTTGGGATGTGTCAGGTTTGACGGAGCAGTGCACCCCTCATTGTGAGCAGAATAAGCAGACGAGTCAAAAGCACAAGAGCAGCAAGAAGGGAAGCTGTTTCTATTTCTTCAACAAGAAGCATAAAAAGAAGGACAGCTTGTTTCAGACACCAATATGGGTTGAGTGAATCACTTTCAAATAAGTTTAGAAAAAAACCTTTCTAGTCTGGATGTTGTACTTCTTTAAAATCATACATTTAGGATCTGCTAGTACAAAGAATACCAAATTATGGACTTAGGATTTTGTCAATTGAAGGTTTATCAATTATTGTTCCACCCCTTTAACTGATAATGTCTGCTCAGATGGATCTTCTTAGTGTTCTAGTGTCAAAACAGAGAAAAAGCAGAGAATTAAAGATACTGGAAGCATACTAGAACAGAATACAAGCTGGTGTGGGATTTATTTTTAATAGTTTATTTAAAACAAGAATGCAGAATTCATTTTTAATGCAGTTCTGTCCGTAAATATAAATGGTTGATAAGCTCTTTTAGTTACTGTATCACCTAAAAAAGGCTGAATGGGTCTTGCCGCCTTTCAAAGTAGAGTGAAACTTTGTGACTGATTTTGTGAGCGACTGCTGTCATACCAAAAATAGCAGCTTAACAATTAGCCATCAGTGGATCAATAAGGTCAACCAGTTTTTAATTAACTTAATCAATAAGTTGATACCCTAGTCTGGAAACAGTTCTGTTAAAACAGGTGCTGTAAAATATCACCTGTCTCTATTTTTGCATCTTTGCCCCAGTTTCAGATCCAAACCTAGCTTTCCCAATGCCAACATGTAATCACTCCACTTGTTTATTCCTGAAATAATTGTAATTAGCAATTTTTCGTAAGGGGAGATGAGTAGGGTGACCAGATTTGGGTTTCTGAAAAGAAGCTGCCTGGACCAGACCGGGCACCTGAATCAGCCCTGGAGCTGACGGCTCGGTTCGAATGCCTGGTGCCCTGCTGCACAGCAGTCGACCAAAATCCTGGATGATTCTGAAATACCCCTGGACATTTTTATAGGTTTGAAATTAAGGAAATGTCTGGGAAAAAGAGGAGGTCTGGTCACCCTAGACATGAATCCAGTTTGGTCAGCCACATCCCGGTCTAATACAAGTGAAGAACCTTCCCTGAAGAGACCGCCCTGTCAGGACTACCTCAACAGTGCATTGATAGCAATCCATCTGATTACAAAGGAAGCCAGAATAAAAAGCTCTGCAGGCTTCACTGCTTTAGATAATATTCAGGTTCAAGTTTCAAGCTAACTCTGGTTCTGCATTTGAAAAATTAGCTAAAAGCACCAACACCACACTTGCATATTGAAGACCTGCTGTGGCATGACTTTAAACTGAATATTCAATCAGGAATATATATATATATATATATAATTACTTTATATATATATAAAGTAATCATCATTGAAAGGTGCTCTTTCTATGTTTGACATTGAGGTTAGATTTTCTGAAACCCTGAAATGTGACATAGTAAGTATAAATGATTCAACAGTAAAATCTGAAGACATCCATACGGTCGTTTTTCACAGTGCCGTATCTCCCTTTAAACTCAAACTTAAAATATGTTGAGAAAAATCCTGTTTTTCAATTAGAAATATCAAATATTTTACTAGAAAAAGGAACAAAGCTCTGGGTAAACATGTTAGTCAGATGAAAAACAGAGCAGAGGTGTGTTTATAGAGAAAAACCAGGAACATTTGAATGGCCACCATTGTTTTTTTCATTCACTTCTCCCCTGATAAAAACTGCCCAGCACTTCCTTATTTTAGCACTAAACATTAAATGCTCCAAGGATGTCATCTTAGTGCATTTTGCTGTGGATGCAAGAACTGTAATCTTACAGTTGTCTTTCCTCCGGTTCTGTTTTCCTCCATTCCCTCCGAGTCAGGCAGTCGTAATGAAAGTTTAGATTCTCTGTGAGAGTAAGCTCTGCTCTCTAAAGTCGAGTAGTCAAGGTTGCTGAGGCACTAGCTGTAATCTATTTTGTGGATTTTCAGCGGGTTGGTGTGCACTTTTCCACAGCTGCAGAGCAAAGAGGTTACACAATCCCTCTTCTTTTCTGCTGCTCGGGGTTCTTAGCATATTTGTCTTACATATTATTTTATCTCCTGTGTTGATCATGCTACGTTCACACCGCACACGATTTCAGCAGCAAAAGGGCCTACTGCTTCATTTTTTATGCTTGTACACATTAACGTCTTTGACATCTTTGATGTCAAGCAAAGTGTTTACAGATGCATCTGATGCTTCTGCTGCTCCTGTGTTCAATGACAGAGAGCGGCTTTGCTATATTTGCTATGATCAGTGGGTAAAAAGTAGTTTTTAATATATTTTTAAGCAAGAAAGTCCACTTCAAAACATCATCTGTGCAGTAACTTCATAAAGATTACAATCCTGCCTTAAAATATTATTTTGCTGTCGGAGGTGTGCAAAACCCCACATACCGGCAGTGCGCTGTCACTGGGAATCCCCAGTAGTGGCTGCCTCAAGCCGAGTTGCCTCTTTGGGGCTTTCCACTACTGGAAAGCGAGTGGAAGTAGATGTTTGTCTTTTTTAATTATGTGGCACAAACTGCAGGCACCAGGATAATAAAAGTGAACATTTATCAACATTTTAAGTTAATTTAAGCGTCAATAAATTGTTTGAGGAGATTGATCGTAGAGATCTGCATCAACAGTGTCTGTCTTATGGATGTAATTTTTTTTTTTCAAATGTCCATTTTTGTCCATTTTTGGTCTACTGCATGTTTTACTGTCCAAAAAAATATTACACTACACTACACAACCAAGCAGAAAACCACAGCTCAAACTGAAGCCCAATTTCCTGAGTTTAGACCGCCCACAAGCTCCTGATTGGCCCACCTTCTTTTCTCATGTGATTGGCTGTCACCGCTGTCACTCCTGAGAATCGGTTCTTTGTTTGATTAGCAAAAATGCTAAACTTCATTATATTAAAAGATACTTACATCCCCCCCACTTCTGAAGTCAAAATTTAGTCCAAGGTCTGTCCCAGATCGGCTTCTCTGATTGGTTGATGTGGTGCATTGGGCAGCAAAATGTTCAATTTTCAAACTCCAGTATCTGCTGCTTTTGCAGGGCATTGCGTTGCTAGAAGCTTATGATGCTTCTGCTGCTTGAGATGTGCCTCAGGACATGTTGATGCGCCTTGATGCGTGTCAACCATAGACTTTGCATGTAAAAAGGTTGCTTCTGCTGCTCAAAGCACTGGTTGTGTGAAGTTAGTATTAGAGTTGACACTGAATCTCTGACCATTCAAAACACTATTTAGAATTTTGTTTCCCTAACTCCCACTTTCTTGACTTAATCTTGACAGTGCGACTAATCTGATTCCTCTTTATTTCCACAGAAAGCGGAAATCGCTGTGGCCCCTTTAACTATCACGCTGGTCCGGGAGGAGGTGATTGATTTCTCCAAACCCTTCATGTCGCTCGGTATCTCCATCATGATCAAGAAGCCCCAAAAATCTAAGCCGGGTGTGTTCTCCTTCCTGGACCCGTTGGCCTACGAGATCTGGATGTGCATCGTGTTTGCCTATATCGGCGTGAGCGTGGTGCTCTTCCTGGTCAGCCGCTTCAGCCCGTACGAATGGCACACCGAGGAGCCCGAGGAGGGCACCGACGGTCCGCCAAGTGACCAGCCCCCCAATGAATTTGGTATCTTCAACTCTCTCTGGTTCTCCCTGGGCGCCTTCATGCAGCAGGGATGTGACATCTCCCCAAGGTAAGAACACACTTTCACCAAACTTTAATTCCCGGTTATATGAGAGTCATTACTTGCATGTTTGCCACAAACTCCACTCAGACTTTATCCCCTCAGGGTGTACATGACCTCCAGGCCAATTATATTCACAGTTTGACACCATGTCAGGCTGCATTATCTGGATCATACAGATAACTTAGTTCTCCCTCAGTTTGAGTGGTGTGTGTGCAAATCCCTGGCCTGTCAATCCAATTAAGTCCTCCATCAATAATTCAAATGTGTCTGATTGACATAAATGGGAGCTGAGTGAATGTTAACACCCTACTGTGACAAGCATTACTTTGTGGCAGTGGGGAAGAATAAAATAACTAGTTGCTATGGAGCTCAATCCTTGAGTTCTTAAAGCTCTAGTTACCTCAAAATGACCTAATTAGAATGTAATTGCTTTAAATGTAAATCCTTAAATGTTGGCATGTCATCAGTGACATTAAGATGTTAGGTTTGGATTAAAGTGAAAATATTGGTGTGCAGGGAGCAGTTCGGCCTTTTTGGGAATACTTGGTGGACTAGAGATAGATCATTTTTTCTCATCAGTGTCAAATTGTTCCGTAAAAGTTTAAAAAACAATCCACTGGACTTGGTTTCAAAGATTTGAAGATGTTTCGCTACCTCTCCATGAAGCTTTCTCAATCCTGGAGAGGTAGGGAAATGTCTTCAAACCTTGGAAACCAAGTCCAGTGGATTGTTTTTTAAACTTTTACGGAATGACTATGACCTGGATGACTAAGAATCTTCATCAGCATCAGTGTCAAAGGATTTGATGTAGGCCTGGATCTAACGTAGCGTACTGTAGAACAGAAGGCGAAAATAGGCAGCAATCTGCAATTTTAGACACAAAAATCAGAGCAAAGCTAAAAGCTTTTGAGTGTCAATATTACAGGTGCTTTATGTTAACAGCTGCACAGATACCTGTAAGCGAGAGCTCATCACTACCAGGGGATAGGCTAACAGCTTAAAGGTAGTAGCAGTAAGCTTTATCACAAAGAGCTTTTCACTAACCGATACGTACCGGAAGCACGATCCGTAGCATCAGCTCAACCAGCTATACATCCGGATTACCCTCAATTTTACTTTGTAAAAAAGACCTAGATTACGCTTTTCGCTCCTGAAGACTAGTAAGCATACTAAACTATAATGTATTAAAGGTTAATAATGTATTTCCTGAGAAAATAAATACCTTAAAGTCCTTTGTTTTATCACTCACCTGTGCCCGATCTGTACAAGAAATGGGATCCTACGCTACTTACGGGAGCTAACTTTTTCAGCTTTAGATTTTAACATAAATTCAGTCTTTTTGAGTTTTTTTTTATGGTATATAGTGCATAACCTAAGGACTAAATTCAGATAAACTTGGTAGTTAATCGTATTTTGCAGGACAGCTCTGATCATTTTCGATGATGTCAGACAAAAAATTTAACAGAGAAAATGTGAAAAGCATCAAATTGTCTCAGAAAAGTCATAACATTTTTAAGGATGTGTTATAGCCTTTTTAGTGATTTAAGGCAAAAATGGTAACCTGACTCCGCCAGATGGATTTGCTCCGCATATCCATCTGGAAACCTTCCATTGAAGTAATTTTGGGAAAGGGCGAAAATACTGGTTAGCTGATTGGCCTATGTTGGTGATAGACGGGCCAAATCAACCAATCAGATCAACGAAGCATATGACGTAACAGAGTGACGACGAAGAGGAGCCAGTTGATAGATCAAACTTTTGCTGAAACCAGTCGGGAGAAGAGCAAAAACATCTTTTCCTCTGAGAAAAGCCTCCAGAGCAGTGTTTTGCTCTTCTTTCAGTGAAGAAATACAGTGTATTTCCGATAAAACTTGCTCGATAGCCATGCTAACGCTAGTTTCATCGGCTAAAGCCGCCATGTTCTTTAGACTGAACTGTCGCGCTTCTCATTGCGTCACACCTCAACCCGCCTCAAAGCCAATGCTGATTGGACATTTGTTTCGTTAACGGCTCCAAATTTTCTTCAACGGAGAGTCTCCAGACTGATTAGCGAGTGAAATCTTGAAAGCTCGTGAGATCAGGATGGTCTCACAAGGCTATAATGGGGAATCTTGAGTCAACAAGTCATCTCTATGTCATGTATTTGCTCTGCCCATCAACTGAACCAGGTAAGTCAAATCTGCACAGGTTAATTCCCTCTGTAGATTGGACGCATCTGGTTCAGTGGCTGGGAAGAGTAAAAACATGAAATAGAGATGACTTGTTGGGCCCAGATCCCACATCTCTGATTTAAGGATAGCAATAATTTCCATAATTACGTTATTAATGGCAACCTGGATGAATATCAGCTTGCATATACCCAAATGAGCTGATGGTACGGATTGTGCTTCTGGTGCAGATCAGGTATCGACAGAGCTGTTAGCTTGTCTCTTGTTCACTGTTTGCTTAACTATAAGTAACAGCTACCATCATCACAATTATATGTTAACTTGTCTCTAAAGGGCTTTTCAGATAGACTTTCTTATAACCTTATTGTTCATGGCTAGTATTATCATTTCATATGTGTCAGAAGTACCTCAAGTTAAACTTTTTTTTTTATAAACAATTATTATTGAGATGAAAGGTACAGTAGCAGCCATTCAAAATGGCCCTTCCCGGTCAAACGTCAGCCGAATGGCAGCCTACTTCCCTGCAACTCCCAGCCAATCCCCTCCAACTTCCAGCCACTGGCCTTATCCTGGGCGTGCATTTTTCTAACTCTGACTCCACCGTTTTACTGAATGACAGGGTCTGACCAGGAGATGATGCTTCTCTTTAGATCTTAATGTCCACAAATCATGACAGAAGGAACATTTTAGTACAAAGATTGATGTTTAAAGAGGAATTTTAGAGGATCAGTCAAGGACCCATCAAGAAAAGTTGGGAAATTTTGAATGGCTACTACTATAAGTGGTTTATTAATTATTATCTGAAACTCAGAATTGGACCAGCGATGGAAGCTAGGTTTAAGGTTTCTCACAGCTCTTCACAGTAAAGCTAATAAGTTGCTATTGCGTTCAATAGGCTATTTTTGAGCCTCTGTAGTGAAAATTATATTGGCTCAGTTCAACATAGGGCAGATTTTTACTTCCCTACGTCGGACCTGAACAAGACGTTGCTCCTTCAATGGTGTGCTAGTGTTGGCTCTGTTTTTTTGTGTTAATGGTATATTTTAGGTGTAGCCTTCAAGGTGAGGATATGTTAATAATTGCAGCAAACCTATAGAAGTTTTGGATGTTCAGAAAACAATAAAGAGACTGTAAGGATCTTCAAATATAAAAATACCTTTCCTAGTAGCTTTAATTCTCCTTTAAGATACCTTAAGCTCTAAATATATTGTTGTCTTAGTCTGAGTCTCCCATGAAAAGTGTTGTCTGTTTCTTCAATTTGAGATTGGTGGGGCTGCTGTTGCTTGCAGGTAAATGACTGATTATTCATAACAGCTCAATAGAATTCCACTTTAAAAGGAGAAACTCTGAAATACGAATACATTTGGATTTCCAGAGGAGTTTAAATGCTCTGACAATTATAGCTGCAAAGGATTTAAGGTAAGGAGACATCACTGCAAAAAAAAAAAGAAATCTAAATAAGTCATTTCTTCTTAAAATAAGTGAATTTTTTCTTGAATTAAGGATTTAAGTGAGACACTTTGCCAATGGAACAAGACAATTTACACTTAAAATAAGAAAAAACAATTGCATTGTCTTATTTCAAGTGCATTTTATTTAGATACCTTATTTAAGAGTAAAAATGCTAATTCCATTGGCAAATCATCTTATCTACCTGTTCAAATTAAGGGTAAATGCCCTTAATTTAAGACATTTTTACTCATTTTGAGATCATTTTTGCAGTGAAGAAAATTGAAAAATACTCACTGATGTGAAAGAATGATTTATGAAATGTTTTTTTTAAAGTGCCGTGCAACATTATATAAGTCTTTCTCTGTCATTAGATACATGATGGTGTTTCCCAAAAATGCTGAACTCATCCTTCTGTGTTTTGGAAGTGAGTTATAGGATGATAAGGAAGGTTGCATGGAGACTATGAGTAAGCATAAAGTAGTAGTAATAAGTAAAATGTATAGTGCTTGTTTGTATGTGCTGCGCTTTTCTATGCTGCTTTGTGTGATCTCATATTTTTCATGCCTTTATGACTGTGAGTCTCTTGGTATTGATTTGGTCTGTGTCCTTCTCCTTCAGTCACGTTGTTCTTTCCTGTCTTCTGTGCACCCATGTGGTTTCCGCTCAATGTTAGGTTGTCTAAGCGTGCATCAGTGTCAACTGTGGAGCATTTGTTCAAGTTTTATATCTGCAGATGAGCTGTCAGAAAGTTGTTTTAATAAATATCTGGGATTTCTCCTCCCTTGTTTCAGAGTGACATAAATGAGAGTTGCAAACTGGTGTCCATTAAACCTGGTGCACCGTCCATCTTCGCGCTCTCTGTTCTGAGACATGGGGAAGTCTTCAGACTGTTATTAAACCCCTAATTCTCTGTGGTTTCTCATTTTGTGCAAAGCCCATCTTAGCATTTTGAATGGCTTTGTCAAGCTTAAACTTCCTGCTGCTGGTTTGCTTGGGCTATTTTAAGAAGCTGCTAGAATGGCCCCTTTATCAGCGATTTCATATGCTACTTCTTTTATCTTTGCTAAGCCCTTATGGTTGTCGTGGTGTAATAGAGTTGGTAAGATAGTAGGAGATGAAAGGACAATCAAATCGGCCTGTATCTTTCAGCCGTGCCCACACAGGAGGAGAACAGAGAAGCAACATGGAGGACCCAGAGGTACATTAAAGCGTCCCTGAAATTATAGCCTGGCCTCACGTAAGCAACCTATAGAGCGGATTACAGTGTACCTGCGTCTGTGATTAAGTACACTTATTCTAGGAGAATAAGTTGCTCACTTGAGCACAGACCACCCTCCACCTGCCACCATAACCACCGCTGCCCACCACATCCCTGCCTGTGTTCTG